GTAGAAAATTCTATAGCCGTGTGTAAAGTCATGTGTGAACATGTGTATGTTTACACACAGACCTCAAACTATGGAAGAAACTGAAAAACTCATGAAGGCAATAGATGGAAGCATGAGACGCTTACTTATATTTCATTGGCAAACAAGGAGCTCTGTTTTGGTCTTCCAGTTTTATTGAGATATAATTGACGTTTTGCTTTTATTTGATAATAATTGTAGCACTCCCTACATATTTCAGTCAATGTTCACTGAGCTTGGATTGACTCCAGGTGTTGAGAGTGCTCCTGAGGGCAGCTGAGGACTTGGGCCTTCCTAGTGGGGCTGCCAGGCTCAGGACAGCACTTGGGCCCACAAGGGCTTTGTCCCTGTAGGGAGATGTTTCTGCAACCTGGGACTTTCAGCGCATTTGTCCAGCTGGGTTGATTTAAGGGCTCTTTCCAGGTTGATCTTTTCCCTGGAAAACTCCCTGAATTCTGGTGAGCAAATTCAGAGGAGAAGCTGGGGATCTTTATATGGTTGTGTGTTTTTTTCATCTTTTATAATCCAGGCATGGTTGTTCAGGTTGGACACTAAATTATTTTTTTCTTTCACTTTATTGAAATATAATTTACAGACAGTGAAATTCTGCACCGATCTTAAATGTCAGATTTACAAGTTTTGACAAATGTAGACACCAATGTATTTCTATATGATTACCCTAGAAGGTTCCCTCATCCCCTCCCTCCCAGTCAATACACCCACACCCCCCAGGGTAATTTTCTTATCTCCATAGCTTCATTGTGCCTGTTCTAGCATTTCCTGTAAACGGAATCACACAGCTTGGCTTCTTTTTCCTAAGATGTTTTTGAGATTCATCCAGGTGGTTGTCGCCTGTACAAGTAGGCCCCAACATGTCACTAACCGCTTGACAGTGTTTACATGGGGACAATTGTTCAGCCCATTGCCTCCAGACCAGATACCCTCAAATCCTGGTATGTGGTCCTGTCTGCCCTTCCAAGGCAGTCTCTTTCCAGGGCCAAGCAAGTTCCTCTCCAGAACCGCCCAGGCCGCCTGGAGCACCACCCAGATGGCCGAAGGGCCATCACCCGGGTAGCCTCCCCTGAACAGCTGCCCTCTGCCCCCCCCCATTAAAACTCAAAGGAAACTGGCCTCTCCGGAGATCAGAATTCAGATCCGTTTCATTCCACCCATCCAACTGCACACAACGGCGTGGTTTTCGTGTTGATCACAGATATGCCGAGTCCTTAAGAAAACGTTAAAAAAATAAAAGAATACATAAATAAAAGGTGTGTGGGGGAGAAACCCATCTCTCGCGGGCGGTGGGTATCAGCTTCTGCTGAACCAGGAATCAGAATTAAATCTTTTCCTCTCCATTCTTTTTTAAATAAACGGAAGAGTCCCTCCACGCTCCGCGCTCGGGAGGTTTCAAAGGTCGTCGCACCGAGGCCTGGGGGCGTTCATCTCCCCGGCGGCCGCGGGGAGGGCGGAGGGAGCCGGGAGGGAGCACACAAAAGCGGCCGTGCCGAGAGGGCTAATGTTTCCTGTTT